ACTACTACTCCTATTCCTACTGCTACCACTGCCACCGCCAATTCTACTGCAGCTACTGCAACTGCTACTGCTACTGCTGCTTAGCATTATGTTTCCTGCTACTGCACTTGCAGTCACGGCTCAGTGCTAGCATAGCAAAGGCTTTACTTTCATGGCTAGCAGCTATGGCGCCAGTAGTCTCTAGGCCTTCACAGCGACTCTTGACACCGCTGATTCGCATTTGCTGGTGCCATTTGTTGTTTTCCTGCATGTGTGAGATCCGAATCCAGCTCTTAGCTCGATAACACACCGTACTGAGGAGATCGGAAGGTTTCTACTGGAGATCTTCGGAGCTAAGGGCTTAGGGCAGTTCCTTGATCGGTGTCTGGTCGTGTGCCTTGCGGTGTGGTCTTGTTGTTTGCCAAATTTGCATTGGCAGGCCGTCTTTGAGAAGTACAAGCCCACGCATGTCATCCATTTAGCTGCCCGTGTGGGAGGGCTCTTCCACAACATGGCGAAGAAAGTGGAGTTGCTTGACATGCCTTGCGATTGTTGTAGGGAGCAGACTACAGTCTCCTGTCGCTTGGGGCTTTCTCATAGATCTGAACATTCGGGCCACGTATGTCTCAAAAGAGCTGAGCATCACATTTGCCGTGAGAGTTGCGAAGTGTCTCGCATATATCAGACGGTTGAATATCAGACGGTTGATGATGCAAATCCGGCATTACCCATAATAAGGAATATACCATAACTCCCATAGTTTGGGATCCTGAAGGTCATGCAGGGTTTATATCATCAACAGTAGTGACGTGTCTCGCAAATATCAACAGCTTTCGACAAGAGTGGTGGAGAAATCAGTCATGAGTAGTCGTCGTCCTCGTCGTGGCATTTAGTAGCAGGAGCCGTCGTCGCAGCTACAACCGACAAAATAAGGTTCTATCGGGAAAATACCCTCATGAACGACAACATCATGGAGTGCTGCCGTATTTACGGAGCGTCTTGGGCTGCAAGTGCTGTATGCATTGGTGACCATGCCAATACATAAGTGGAAACAGGGGATGGCAGAGGTGTAAAAGAGAAAACACGGCAGGAATACGCAGGTCACGCTGACGCTCAACAGCAAGGATAAGCTGTTCACAAAAGGCATACGACAAGTTCTAGCGCTACATGGAAATCGCTTGCCATGTTTACAAAGCCGTTCGTTGTCCCTGGCCAGAATTGTCACCTCTACCATCTCCAATATGATGACTATCATCGTTTAGTCTATGTTATCCGTCGTTTGCAGTGGAAGTAGGACTGTTCGGCTCAGTGCCCAGAAAGCCAGCATGTTTTTGTGGCTTTGAGCCCGATGGGTTAGTCCTGGTCTAGGGTTTAGGGTGTAGGGTTTAGGGTTAAGGGTTTAGGGTTTAGGGGTCTATGGTGCTGCGCTTCAGAGGTGTGAGTTCGGGCCCCTAAGTGTTGCAAGACAATGGGTGCTTGAGGCATGGGGCCTGACTCTGAGGGGGTCGAGCGAGCACGGACACTCGGGAGATGGATCGATGTGGTTTATTGAGTCTGCGCGTAGTTCATATGGATATTATGCAAGCAACATCTGCAGCAAAGTGTTTGAAGGTTTGAGGGACCATAAAGGATGGGGGCCGTCTGCCTGAATTAATTAGGCAAGTATTTCTGGATTTAGGGCTTTCGCGGGTTAATGTGAGCATCTGATTAAGAAACCTCCCCATATAACTCCAAAATACAAGGATTTATATAAAGAGCCCTAATCAAGACTCAAGGTTTCTAAATCATGTGCCTGTACTAGGATTTCGATCTGGAGATCTGGAGAGTCTAAACGACCGCAAGGAGGATTTGGGTCTGAACTACTACTAAACCCTAAACCCTAAACCCCTAAACCCTGTAGGTGTGGCTCTGCTCGCATTTCGAAGTCCTCCGGTGATACGTGGGCTCAGGTCAAGAAGCTGGTCTCGTGCCTGTCGACATGCATCCCGGAGAGACGTGCAGGGTTGAGGGTTAAGGGTTTAGGGCTGCTGAATCGGCGCAAAGTGTCGGTTGTACAGGGCGCAGCTGGCATGCAAACTAGATTTGATTTTGCTTAGGTTGCAGAGTAGCGCATTGTCATCATGCTCTTTGTGCAGGCAGACGATTTTGCAACCGCAAAATCTTAGAATCACCGACTTTTAACAGGACTTTCCCAGATGTGATTTCGGGCCGAGGGCTGGTGGTGGGGAGGCATTGGGAGAGGGGAGGAGGGGGCGGGCTGTAGGGTTTCACCGTCTGGGTTGCTGGACGAGGCTAATCCAAAGGCTGAAGCCACAGAAACCTCCGGCAAGAAGGCCAAATGCAGAAACGCCGAATGTACTGCTAATTGCATGTTCATGCTTCCATCTCTGCCTGGGATTATGCCGGACATCCCTAAATACCCTAAACCCTAAACCCAATAAGCCTAAGCCATGAGCCCTGTACCCTATAAGCCTTAAGCCTACACCCTAAACCCTAAACCATCAACGATGTTTCGAGAATCCCTGTGCTTCCTTACATCTGCCCGAGACCCTCAGACCTCTAGACTCTGCAGTTTAGTGTTTAGGGAGGTTTCGGGTTTTAAGGGTTTGGGGTTTAGGGTTCTAGCCTTCGGGTAAACGGACTAGAGTTTAAGATTCGTGGTAGGGTTGAAAGCTTTGGGCTTGCAGCTTAAGGGCTCAAGGTTTCCATCCTAAGACATCAGGGTTTGGGGTTTAGGGCTGCTTGAGATGAGCCCTTCTAAAATCCGCATTGAAATCGCATTGAAATCCCCATCCCCAGAAGCCATTGCGACTGAGGCATTTTTCCTGACAAGACAACCTATCCTATAGATGTGGCTCGGCTGCAGGCTACGTCGTCTTAGGGCTGGTGTGAGGGCCCGGGCTTGTCTGGCGGTGACTAAATAACCCTGAACCCTAAACCCCAAACCTAAACCCAACCCTAAAACCCTAAGCCCTAAACCCCAAACCTAAACCCAACCCTAAAACCCTAAACCCTAAATACCTAAACCCAACCCCAAAACCCTAAGCACTAAACCCTAAACCCCAAACCGAAACCCAACCCCAAAACCCCTATACGTCCTTAAACCCTGGAGGATCTTTGGGCTATGAGGCCTAAACGAACCGCGTGACCCAGCACCAGCCCAAGCTGAACCCTAAACTCCACATCTCCACCCCCCCATGCCCAAACCCACACATTCCCTCAACCCCAAAGGCTTTTCCGATTCCCTTAGACCTTTTGCAAAAATCTCGGAATGCAGAAGCCTCTTCGACTGATATTTAGTCTTTCAGCTCTTCTATTGAAAGACTGCAGTTTCTCCCAAACATCATTGCACAAAGTTCAACCCTAAGAAGAAGTAAGCACGGGGAGCCTGGTATCCGAGGAGACCATGTTGCATAATGGTCCTCCGCACAACTCCAACCTGGGCTACTCCATGGCGAAGCGTTCCTTTGCTTCCGATGCCTTGGAGGTTGGTTGAGAGAACTTCTCTATAGAACTCCAGGCCAAGTACCTCTTAGTCCGGATCCATTAATACATGAATTTGTGTGTTCGCTTTCATGCTCTAACCGACGTCGGGGCGCTGTGGCTTTGCAACGCCTCCTCAGCTCTTTCTTCGTAGTTTGTGGTTTCGGGTTCAGGGTTGGGAGTTTAAGGTTCAGGGTCTAACGGTTCAGGGTTTTGGGTTGAGGTATGGTGGACACGATGAACCACTGTTACCACGAGCAGTATGGCGACGCTCGGCCTGCATCCGATTAGTCATCCGACTCATGCGCCTTCAAGTTTCCAGGGTTTAGGGTTTACTTAGAGAGTTTAGGGTTGAGGGCTTGGGAACCGAGCCAAGTCTCAGAGCAGTATTGCTTGTGATAGTATGCATCAGAGCGGTGTCGTCCCAACTCTGCATAGGATCTGTATCGATTGGTGAGGTTGAGCTAGCCGGGTACGAGCAGCTTAGTATTCCCGTAAGCCCCTAAATCCTAAACCCTAAACTCTAAAGGTAGAATATATCTCAAAACCCTGTTCAAACCATCAAGGCCCCTTCTATTGGGATTCCGAGTCTTTCGAGTTAAACCCGTGACGAGGTTCAGTTCACATCGCTCATTCCGACCAATGTCTACGGCCCACACGACAACTTCAACATCGACGATGGCCATGTCATCCCTGGCTTGATCCACAAGTGCGGCCCAGCCTCCATTATGGGGAATTTTACGGTTAAAACTACCTGACATCCAAAAA